TGTCACACAGGAATCCCCCCAGGACACCGCGCGTTCGATCGCTCCACGCAGTCAAGTAGATTAACAGGGAACCCTGCAACCTGCCTAATAGCAGCTCTAACTCTGCCTGGCTTCCAACTGCGGGGAGCCACTTACAGGAGACCTCATCTCCAGAGATGCCCCCGCAATTGCTAGTGGCTGGGGCTGTGGGAGCTCTATGCCACGAGTGCCGGGCATCCCAGTTATTTGTAGTCAACGATAGACACGCTAGCAAATCAACAGAGACGGAGTAAGGACTAATTTTGAAAACACAGGCCAGGATGCCTAACAGCTTGTTTCAATCCACAGCATATTAAACTACATGCATAGTCAGGGCTTCTTTAACATTGGCCTTTGCCCACATGCCAGCTTTTGCTGTTTAGAAGGCACAGACTCTGATTTTCAGCATAGAGTTGATCATTTATCTCACTCTGAGCTTTGTTTTGTATTGCCTGGCCCAGTGTGTACCCATCTGCACACAGTTGGGAGGAATCAACTGCCACCTTTGTGATCTGTAACCAGGTGGCAGTTACAGTGGCATTGTTTACATTTGCTTCACACAGGTGAAAATGACAGATAGGGAAACAGGGATTAAGAGGTCAATTATGGGAGAGAGCTGAGTCTCTTAACTCTGATCTGAGTAAACCGAAGCTGAGGTCACGCCGCACTTTTCAGGAACACTCTTAATATGTGCTTAAAATCAGAGAAGAATTGCTTAACTGAGCCAGAAATTGAATCTAATTAAACAATTGTATATTTGGAAAGGACACAGTAAGGAAACAGAAAATTTTAAAATGCCAACATGCTACCAAAGTTTGGTAGCACAAATACTGTAAGATTTATTTCATATGACGGAGTCTTCATTTTTTGCTTAGTTCCAAAGCCACTTATTTCATATCCATTAATTTTTTCCTCCAATTTTATGTCTGTCTTTTAAAATAAATCAAAGCATTCATGTTGCTTGATTATATTACAGAACTACAATAAACTCAAAGTCTGTGGAGAAGCAGCGCTTGTTCTATTTGTTTAGACAGCTGCAGGCAACATTACTAAGCAGTTAGAGGACTTTCCACATAAAATAATCTTCAGTCATTTAAAACTCTTAAAACCTTTAAGTACTGTATTCAAAGATACTGAAAATGCATCTGGGTAATTGCTGACTTTTTGGTTTTTACAGCCACAAAGCAGCATTTTCTTTCTATTCTTAGGAATATTCATGATCAATCATAGCATTGTTTTGAGAACTGGTTTAAAATGCAAATATTTTTGTTGTTTTTATTGCCTTAGCAGTAAATAGAACAGGGCTCAATTAAGAGTTTATTTACCATTTAAAATTATTACTTCGAGGTATGCCTATGGCAATGAGAGAAAGGTAAAAAGAGAATTTATGTCTCCTATACAACTTCAGATAAAAATAACATTTTTCTTGAGACTTGGATGCAGCAGTTGAAAAGAAGTGAGCGATGTGATCAGAATTGACTTTAGGCAGGCGATGAACAGGAACACTGGTATTCAGATGTCTGCTCTGCCACACAAATTCTTTTTACAAGAAATCAAAAAATTCCTGCCAGTTCATTCCCCTTTATTGTTGTTTCTTTCTAATTATTCATATGCATCACTAACAGTGAAAGTTTTTCAATATACACAATGGACTATCTCTCCCGTGTTTTGATCTCTTCTGATCAAGAGTGTGCCTCATTTTAATGTTTTTCTATTGTCACATTCTCAATTTTCACAATCAATTTCTATTATCTTGGGCCAACTCACAGATCTTGTGTGTGAAATTTCTCAGAATAAAATTTTACAAGCCATGAATTGAAAACTATTGCAAATAGTTTGCTTTTTATTTCTCTATATAGTCTTTTTCATTCATGTGTATGAAACATCCAGTCCTGCAAGGGACAAACTACATTCAACTCCCAACGGTTAAGTATAAGAAATGTTATACTGAGATATTATAGACACATTACATTGTAGATCTGTATTTTAACTTGCACATACAATATACCAAGATACTGTGAACTCTCTAGAGAGAAAAAGATAGCAGTTATGTGAAATTTTATGCCAAGCAATTATATAGATGCAGAACCTTTGCAATACTAGCCCTTAAAGTCAGTTTCTGTAGCAACTCCCAGTCCATGTTCTGTAGCTAGATTCTTATTCCATTTCTACTGTGCAACATAAGATGCTTGGAAACCAAACGGCAGAAACATATGGTTAAATGTAAGAAACTTGCCATAAAATAAATTGTTTAAATGATTTATGAATAGTTTTTCATGTTTACAGGACAGGCTGAAACGTTTGCATTCCGAGACAAGTTGAAAACGTAAACTATGACTTTTAAAAAAAAAGTTTCATGGTAAAAATGATTCAGTGTTATACCAATACTTTATGGAAGATTAAACAAAACTGTGCCACTACAAATGTAACAGAGGGCACAAAAATAAATGGCTGGAAGACAGAGGATGGTAGAAGTGTGTATGCGTATGTGTAGCCTCTAATAAGCCAGTTCGGTTGTGATAGAAGATTGTTTGCACTAGGGATGTTAAAATGAGGTTATTTTACTAATGGTACATCTAAACTACTCCCCTCTGTCACCAGAGGGATGTAAATTAGATGCATCAAAAGTGCAAATGAAGCGAGGATTTAAATATCCCGTGATTCATTTGCCTAATAGCAGCCGCCACTTTTTTTTGAAACAGGGCTTTTCGAAAAAAAAATGGCAGTTTAGGATCCAGGGACTACAGGATCTTTTGAAACAGGGCATTTCTGTCAAAAATGCCCCATCTAAACTGCTTTGGTGTTTTTCCCCAAAAGACCCCGTTTCAAAAAAAAAAGCGGCGGATGCCATTATGCAAATTAAGCGTATATTTAAATCCCCGCTTCATTTGCACTTTCGATGCGTCTAATTTACATCCCTCTGCCAACAGAGGGGTGTAATTTAGATGTACCCTAAATGAGTAGTCAATAGAATTTGTATTGACTAGCCTTTGATTGACTAGAATTTGATTAGTCGATAGGGGAAGGCAGCCGGCTCAGTCCTGGCTCATGTGGGGACCAAACCCCCATTGGCTCTGCTATTTAAAAGGCAGTAGGAGCCAGTGGGCAGCCTCGCCCCCTCACCCCCATCCTTCCCTTCCCCTCCCCTCCCCATCTCACACACACACTACTGCCTCTGATGGAGGCAGCAGCGGGGGTGGGGCAGGAGAAGCTGCACCATGGAGATGGTGCTCGGGGGAACTGGCTTTTAAACCAGCTCCTGCTTGCCCCTCCACCTTGCACTGCCTCTTTTAGATCCCTAGTTTGTAAAGGGCAATGTAGCACAGAAGGGGAAATGAAGAAATCTGTCTCTTGTAGAGTGACAAGATGCCCTGATTTTATATCAAAAAGTCTGGTAGCACTTGATAGATTAACAAAACATGTAGTCTATCAATCTGGCCATTCAACACTCTGGTCAACTGAAGAAGTGGACTGTGATACCATCTACATGTTTTGTTAGTCTTTAAAGAGCTACCAGACTATTTGTTGTTTTTAAGTTTATCCTGTACAGACTAACTCAGCTACTCCCTGAAGCTTTTGATTTTATATCGACAATCCCAATATTCAGGACTTTTTCTTATATGTTACCCCTCACATTCTGTCCCGATTTTTCACACTTCCTATCTAGTCCCCTTACTCTCTTCATCCCGAAACATCTTTACAGAAACCATCATCTTTCATTCCTGTCCATAGCTTGTTCCTCTTGTAAGTCCACTCAGGTCATGTCCCTGCTTATGGTCAGTGGCTAAGTCTGATTCACCTTGGCTGTGTTTGCAGTATTTCCTTTAGCATCCTATCATCTGTTTGTCTTCTGCAGTATCTTCACCATTTTAATATTTTTGATTGTCACCAATCCCATATCCTGATTTCACGTACCACACTCCTTCTAAATTCTTCATTTATCTTCAAATGATTCCACCACGTGTCTGTCATTTTATGAAGAATTCTCATCTCTACTGACTCTGGCATTCTGATGTCTATTTCATGAAATGCAACTGCTTCCAGACCATAGACGAATACTGTTAGTACACTGTTTTGATATATTTTCACTTTGGTACCAAATGTCATGTTTTTATCAGTCCATAATTTCATCAATTTCCATGCAGCAATGGGGGCTCAGGCATGTCTCCTTTGTCCTTATCCTTGAAGGAACTGTCAATACTAATCAAACTTCCGAGGTACACATAACAATCTGCTTGTTTTACAACTTCACTGCTGCTCCATTTCAATATTTTGCCTCTTGTCTCTTTTCCAAGATGCAACTATTTTGTCTTCTTGAAATTTATTGAAATTTCCACACAGCACACAGTCAGCCTGTGGAACTCATTGCCAGAGGATGTTGTGAAGTCTAAAATTATAACAGGGCTAAAAAAATCTAGATACATTTATGGAGGATATTAGCCAGGATGGGCAGAAACGGTGTATCTACATTTATGAAGGATATTAGCCAGGATGGGCAGAAACGGTGTATCTAGCTTTTGTCAGAAACTAGGAATGGATCACTTGATGATTTCGGTGCTGTTCTGTTCTGTTCATTCCCTCTAGAGCACCTGGCATTGGCCACTGTTGGAAGACAGGATACTGGGCTGGATGGACCTTTGATCTGACCCAGCATGGCCATTCTTATGTTCTGAAATAGACTACATACATTTCCAGGCTAGTGATTGCTATCATTAATTCAAACATATCTCCTAGCTGTACAACGTTAGCTACATAAAACCAAGGAGCCTGTCTCTATATTATTCAAGGTAATGCCCTCCAACTTGTCTAACATCCTTAAAGTCCAGTTTCAGAAGATGATGAAAAATGATGATTTCATGTCCCCCCATCTTTGATTTGAAACAGTGGCTTTATTTTCCACCATTTTTATGGCACTTAAAGGTATCTTTGTACATTACTTTTAGAATTGCAATGATCTTATCTGGAGCTCTGTATGATTTTGCTATTTTCTATAATGCTTCACTGCAAACTGAATCAAATGCCTTTGTAAAGTCATGAAAACAACAAACAACTTTATTCCCATATTTGGGGGAAGGCTGTTTGTTTGTTTTACCCATCGACTATCTGAATATGAATATCTGATGAACACAACTTAGATCAGGTCAGAAGTTGAACAATTCCTCTAAAACTGGCCTGCATCTGTTAACAGTAACTTTCATCATTGATTTTCCTAATAGTGACAATAAGCGTATGCCTCTATGATTATTTGGATCCGTGGGGTCTCCTTTTTTCATGGTTGGTACAACTATTGCTTTTAGCCCGTCATCTGATACCATCTTGTGCTCCTATACCTTCTTGTATATTTTTTCTGTTAGCTTGATAGCACTTTTCCTGCAGGCATTTAGCAGTTCAGTTATCATATTGTCTATTCCTTCCAATTTTTCCAATTTTTAACTGCTTCTCTGCTCTTTTATTTCTTTTAATGGTGGTACCATGCTGATATCCTTTCTGCTTTGCAAGCTGCCCAGTTTATCTAGCATATCTAGAATGGTTGCATCTAGATGAAGAGGCAGTATTCAGCACTTTGTTAAAATGGCCTATGTTACCAGCACCTCTTTGGAATTTGCTGTTAATGGTAAATTGTAGTCAATTTACCACTTGTTTTGTTGGCTTACTTGTGTTTCCATCCAACTTAACCTTTTTTTTAAAAAATGTATTGCTTTCATATCTTGGTTTCTAGAGATCTTTGCTAGGTGTACCTTTTTCCCCCAGATTTTAGCTTGTCTAATCTTTGTGAAGAAACAATAGATCAAAAACTTGGAGAAATGAAACCTCTAGCTTAATATGGAGTAAGATGGATAACGATAAAAAGGGAGACCGTACACTCCACATATTGTGAAGGAGTAGCTTGCAGTAACCAGCAGCAATGCTATTTGTGCATTTAAGAGGCCATTAATAGGCTATGAGCATACGCACCAGTCTTCTTTGGGTGTAAATATAGCTACAGTATTGGACATCTAGAGTGAAGTAGACAAGAAACAAAGAAAAAGGACCTGTATCTGTATGGCTCCAGTGGGCACATGAGGACTATTTCCCACCTCTCAATCCAACAAAAAGAAGGAATAAAACAAAGGCACCACACCATATTAAAAGGGTCGGGATGATGTATGATAGATGATACATTTATTCAATTATTTAATAATGGCACCTAAATAATATTAGCTAGATAGAGAGAGTGCCCATTATTAGAAGTAGATAATAAGCAGATTTTGGAGCTGACTGCACTTCGAAGAAGCCCCTGTATGTTTTAAAATTGATGTTTAATCTCATCTGGAAAATCAGGGTACATTTATTCAATGATGTAGCCATGTGTCATGCACAATATCCCAAATTCACTGCTGTACACTATACACAGCAGGTCAAAGAACTTGTAATTTAAGACTATCCTACAGTTTGCAAGAAAGCTCTGAAAATTTATATAATACTCTAGAGTCCTTAATAGCAAGCTCAGCGTCACAGGGGATTCTGTTCTTCAGGGAAGCTCATACTATAACCAGAGAGTTATGTTCCAAACACTTCATAACCTTTCCCACAGTTCAGAGTTAGCAATAATGTCCATTGTCTGAAGATAAAGTTTCCCTTGCTTTGGTCAAAAAGGCCCTGAGTGTATACAAGTGTGTGTATGTGTGGTGGACAATTTTAGTAGCTAGGGACACTAAATAAATTCTGCCTTCACAATAAATGTGACATATTGCCTTATTCCCCAAATAAGATTCTGCTAGTTCTACCGTAAAATCTCGAGTATAATGCGCACCTATGTATAATACGTACCTACCTTTTAAACATCAGAATTCTGGAATAAACTGAGCTCTTATCTATAATGTGCACCCTCATTATACTAGCGATTTTACTGTATATATAGGAAGGAAGGGGCCGCTCTCACCTGCAGGCTTGCCAGGGAAAAGCGCGCGCAGCACTGGGGAGCTGGCAGCAGAGTTTGAAAACTGCTCCCCGCCCAGCTGCTCATGCACCGGGCTGATGGCCAGCTGAGCTCCTGCCTGCCGCTGGGTTCCCCTGCTCAGTTGCCGGTGTAGCGAGCAAAACATGCCAAGCTGAGCAAGGGGCTCCCGCCACACGTGCAAGCTCAGTGCAGCACACCGGCAACTGGGCAGAGGGCCTCCGCGGCAGGCACGAACTCAGCCAGGCTCCCAGACAAGGTGAGGACCCAGCAGGCAGGGCAGCTGAGCTTGCGCCTCCCGGGGGGGAACCTGACTAGCTGCCCGCGCGCTGCGCCTTGTCCTGGAGCCTGGCTGGGAGGGTGAAGTAAAAATATTGTACAAATTACCTCCGATGTATAAAGTGCACCCCAGTTTTAACCCTTAAAAACCGGGGAAAGAAGTGCACATTATACTTGCGATTTTACGGTACTTCTAAGTGTAACAAAGCCATGGTTAGCAGGAGGTATCTGTGGTTGCCTTTTTCCAATCTGTAAACTTTTCACACTAACAATGTAAACATTTTCAAATATGTTCACAGTCTGATTTGTCATAAATGAAACAGGAGAAGAAAGCATTATTTAGACATATGTTTTTATTCATATTTCCTTAAATGTACATACTGCTTATGCCTAGGAGTTCAATTTGCACTCTTGTGTTTAAAAGTCCACTGAAGCACTTACACAGATGGCTGCTCCTCAAAGCCTACCTTCTTATTTTTGTGCTTTTTTAAGGCATTCAGTTGATTCTATATTTTCAGCTGCACACTGAATGCCTAACTCCCAGTTTAGCCTATGCAATTCAGTCTTCAGATTCTGCCCTCATGAAGAACTACTGCTCCGTGTGTCACTCTGACACTTCTTTGGCACTGAGGTTATTTGTGATGATTGCCACAAAGCTCTTTCAATAATAAAGACCATTTGGTGGACACTTCTCACTTCTGCAACCTTTACTAACCAATGTTACTGGAGAAGGAATGAAGAGCAAAGTTAAAAGTGGAGAATCACAATAATATAATTCCTCCAAATAGTCCCAATAAAATCTAAATTATGAATTAACATCTTCTTTCAAGATACCATTGTCAGCCAGCTAGAAGTTATACTAAAATCTATTCTAAGTCATACAGTATCTCCTCTAACTTTTGTTTCTCTGCAAATGATGCATGCTTTGCTATTCCATTTGTCTACTTCTCCCCAACCATCTTTTTTTCCGTGCCTCCCTCTGAACATGGAATGCCTTCCCAATTCTGCTCTCAAGGCACTCTGGAAGACTAATTTCTTCCATGAGTCAAATAAGAAGTGAGTCAGTAATAATATATGTATAATGTGGATGAGTGAGTCATCTTACACAAAATAAGAAACATAGCTGACTAAATATTGGCAACTTTTATAAAATACCCATGCCAAGGAATCTGAGAAGCCTACATTATTTATTATTTTTACAGCGCTCAGAAGATTCGTAGGTGCTTTATACGTAGTGCAGATAGAAGAAAATTATTTCTCTACCAAAGACTTTACCATATACGGGTGTACATGATGTAACAAATGAATGCAATAAGATGGTATGTGTGTTTCGGAGGAAGAAATGAGTGAAGATGGATTACAGCTAACCCCAAAAATTTCACAAGGTTATTCAATATAGAGCTGAGCAGATGTATAGAAAGCAGAAATAAATGAAAAACTCAGACAAATTGAAATAATTATAAGAGCAATGCACCCATTATGTAGCCCTACTGAATCATAACTTACCTTTTTCAGCCAATAATTGATCAAAAGAACAGTACGCCATGAGAAAATCTGTTATAGAGTCTTTTATCTTAGAAAATAACAATAATCATGGCTTGTGCATAAAGATCTAAAGGAAATCTTGGAAGGACAAAAGTTGAAGAAAGGTAAAAATAGCAAGGAATCATTTCACATAGCAAAAGTCAAATTCTACTCTTGGTAACACATGTGTGACTCTCACTGACTTCAATCCAGAGTAATAACTGGCCTTATAGTGGTTTTCTGAGTTGGTTAGCTGACATCTTTAAAAGCCTGAAATACTAAATTAAAAATCAGTCTTTGATCCAAGCTCCAAATTCTTTCCTATTCAGTTCCCAAAACTTGACATTCTAGTATGCAGACCAGCATC